GTTATTGTTTCTGTTGTTTTTGTTAACCCATGTAACCTTGTATTGCAATAAATACGACACCAACATTTTAGATACCGGTGAAATTTCTCAAATACTCTAACTACAATAAAGCTCAAGCATTATTAAAGACAAGCAAACAGTCAGTAAAGAAGTAAGATCAAACAAACAAATTACTAACAATAGCCCTAATAAATGAAACAGAACAAATATACAAATGAAATAAACAGTGTTTTAAGTTTATCAGATACTCAGGCACAGATATTGAATAATCAAATGTAAATGGACACTGCATTATATAGATAAATATAGATGATTCTTTAGTTAAAAGTGATTCAGTCAAGAGCAGTACGTGCTTTTCTCTTTTTCTTTTGTTGTTTGATTAAAATTAATGACACAGACAGCAGCAGGTATATTAGGCTGCTGTCACTTTAAGACCTAATGCTCGAATCCAGAATTCAGTCAGTGAGTGTTTTTTCAGTGGATTTTGGAGAACTTTAATCCCTGCTATCTACAATGTCAAAACAAGGTTTTTGGTAAATATTTTTTTCCAGACAAAGAATCCAGCTGCTCCAGCCACAAACACAACTCCTGTGGTTATTAGCACTGGTGCTATGACTACCAGCACAACACCTGCTGCTATGGATCCAACACTTACTGGTACAGCTACGGCTGCGACTGTATTTAGGGCTTTTTTTCATTTTTTTTTAAAGGCCTTTTTTTGAACAATTGTTTTAAACTTCTCATTTGTGTAGTACTCCCATTGGTTTCTCTCTGCAATGTTTTCGATCTTCTCCAGCAGCCCTGAGACCTGATTGTGATCATCTCTATTCTGACTGTCGAATGAGTGAAATCTGCTAAGCTAACCTTGAAAAACTGTAGTTAACAACACTACAAAATTACACAAAGTAGCTCACTACATTACATCAACTTAGGGCATGACATGTTTTTAAAATAAAATTAACTATTTTTAAATTAATTTACTATGAAGCCAGATGTTGATTTTCTGGCATTGACAATCTTCATTTGCGTGTCAGAATAAAATCAAATTAATACTTTTATACTAAAGACTATTAAAAACATAGCAATGAACCAGACAGAATTTTTTTTTACCAAATGAATCAATGCCACCTTCATTTGATAACAGAGGTACTACGGAGAAAGCAATATATATGATAAATTGATATGTAATGCACTGATCATTTGTAGATCATTTGTGCCTATATGAAGCACTGTAAGTACTGACTTCTGTCATTCATTTTCTCTCTACTTGATTTTGGCTTCTCAAAAAGCTGTAAATCGTTCAGTCACTTATTTATTATAGCACACATGGTTTTTAAACAGTGTCTGAAGCAGTGGCGGCTGGTGAAAAATGTAATACATTCCAGTATGATTTATCCAAGTATAACAAAAGGAAAAATATTAAGACTTGAAACATTTTAAATAAAGATAAATGTTTTACCAAGTTCAAGATTAAATCTGAGGATGATTCTCATGAATATATATTTTCTGCAATTTATATATATTTTTTTTTTTTCAAGATAAATTAAAACATTTTTTAATTTTCATAATTCACAATTTATGATTACAGTGCAACAGCAAAAACTGTGAGGAAAAAAATTAATGTCAAATTTGTTTAGAGCATTTTCTGTAACATAACAGAATCACACAGAGATGCCAACAGACCACCAGTCGCCTTAACCTGACTGTATATACATATATACGGATCCATTCAGAATTATTAAACAGAGCAAAACACAAATTGAATGTCACCTGAATGTCACTGTAATCGTCTTTACAAATGTCATCTATCTAAACTTTACTGGTGAGACACTGGTTTGATTTATCCAGGCCATATAGACCTGACTTCAGCTTAAAGATAATTAATAGAGGTACATTTGTTCCCACCACTCGCTGCACAAGTTAATGTTATGTATGATGACGAAAGCACGTTAATACTCGCCCTCCCGGAACTCATAGAGATTGCATTGCAGTGGCTGCAGTAAATAAAAAAAAGGAAGTCTATGAGAACAGTTAGCCAGAGTGAAATCGTCCCAAAAAAGGGTGGTCCTCCACATTATGTGCTGTAATGGGGGGGGTGATTCCAAGGACCTGACGAGGAAGAAGGGGCCCAGTACGCGATTTTTACAGAGTCAATATGCTGTTCAGGGGGCCCAGAAACCATAGCAGCGCCCCAGGGCAGAACAAACAGTCTAGATCAGTGGCAGCTAGTGTAACACCGTAGTTGAATGAGATAAGCTAGAACAAATCCCTCCCTTTCACACTTCGATGGTGCGTCGCCCTAATGAAGAAACCAGCCCTGGTCAGAAGAGTAACCATTATATAATGTTTATCTGGTACAATTTATAAATGCATTTCAGGAACATTTTATGTGAGTATTGTAGCTTATTGTAACAATACTTACATCATGTAAAACATATAACATCAGTTAAGCAAAAGGCTAATTAAATTAGTAATGAACATAATGCAGCCTCAGAGACGAAAAGGGCAAGATATTTTATTATTTTTCAATTTAAAAAAATGTCGATTTTGATTTCATGGTGACTGTAAGACTTGTCAACCACCCAGCGTTGTGTTTTGCAAGATCGTGCAGACAGTACTCACATTGTGAATACATTATTTGAAATGAGAAGGCTAATCTGAATTTTAGAGGAAGCCGTTTATTAAACGAATGTATAATTAGGCATTGTCATAACTTATCTCCGTCTTTTAACAGGGTTGGTTTAAGCGAGTATAACAGAGCCCAAGCGCGAGCGTCTCACACCCATTTCTGCTAGTTGCTTTAACAGGGACAAATATAAAGTATGCTGCTATAAAATCAGTTCATACGTGCTCTGAACTGACAGTCTTCTCAAGCTATTCAGCAGGTTTGTGACAGAAACATGTCCAGCTGTAAGCGATTATACTCACAGAAAATCTTTTCTTCTGCTCTGTTTATCGTATGCGGTCCAGATCAGCTGGATTTAGGATGAAGAGATTCAGGAGAAGATCCTGGAGAACAGGATTGGGCTGCAAATATGTTCGTATTTCTATTGTTCAAGTCTGTGTGAACTGGACGCATGTAGAAACTTTGAAAAAGATTAGAACAAACTAAAAACTTAGAAAAATTGCATTTCGCAGCGGTTGTGAAGGAGTAGTTTGCTAAATTAAGCTGTTTTTTAGGATACATTACAAATTAAGCCACAATATTTAACTATAATTCCATTGTTTATCTCCAGCTCTTCAGGTAGAGAAAGGAATTGTGAATTAAATGATTTATAAAATGTGGATTAGTTAGCATAGTATGGCGAGAAATAAATCAGTATATCATGACAATATTTATAGTTTGGTGCAGCTGTATGATAAATAAATTAAACTGCAAATAAACTGACGGTGAAACACACGCTCTCTCTCACACACACTCACACACACACACACACACTGATGTGTTTTCCTGTAATTCAAGGCTTTTCCTGTAGAGCACAGTTTACTTTCAGTTTCACTTTCGCAGAAACACATCAGCATCCGAGTTTCTTTCAAACTAATCAAGACAGAAGGGAGGACTGCCAGATGTGTGTTAATATTTCTTGCTTAGAATTTCCATTTTTAACAAATAGTAGAAGAAAACGTTCTTTAACAGAAATAGTAACACAAATTGTTTATGTTTTAAGAGCTGCAGACAGACTGATTAATGCTGAATCATTGATATCAGCCTACAGCAAAAAAAACAAAAAACAAAAAAAACAACAACAACAACAAAAAACACTTTTTATTTTTTTCTGTGATCAAGGTAATATTGTCACCCCCATTTTTGAACATAGACGTGAAAGTGCACTATCCAAACTTAAATTGTTTAAATACAGACCTAAGGTTGGACTCTTTCTAAAGAAGACAATCAGCCTTTTATTGCAGAAGTGGAAGCATTTCAAAATATGAAAGCATCAAAAAGTTATAGAAGTTTAAATTTACTGTATTGAAAATGCACTGTACAATTTTTATTTTATTTTGTATTAAATAAATCATTTTAATAACAGGTTTTACACTAAAATTGCTATAAAATTAAAGCTGTATGACTAAATAAGTTGTATTCCAAATTTGAAGTTGATATAAAAAAATGGAGGTTCCTGTGAGATTTTATTTTGAGCGTTGCACCACAAACAGCCACCAGGTGACACCCAAACTCCATTGGCATTTTTTAATGCATTTTTCTGTCACAAATGTCTACCTTTCTCTGTCAATATTACTTCGATCACAAAATAACCACCAAATAGGGAATCTTGAGACTCAGACATTTCCAATGATATTTATTTTGTCAAGATTATATATACATTTTGCAATATGACACCGCCCACTTAGGGAGAGGAGACCGACAAAATATTTAAAAGTACCATTTCCATGGTAACACAATGTCCAATTTTAAAATGGTTTTCACGGGATGAATTTTGAGGTTTTAAGCTTTCAAATTATATCTAACTTTGGGTGATTACTAACATTTTTGATAGAGTAATAAGGCAATAAATTATGTAATGGCTGTGGGCCCACCGCTGGGCCGGTGGACACTTAACAGGTTAAACTGTAATCAGTGGATTTCATCTTTTGTGCAGCAGATCTTCATCACACTCCGCTCATCTTCACACATGTGTAAGCAGCTGTTAAGGGCACTGTTTGAGGGTGTATAGTGTTGAATTGTTCAGATCACTATTGTGTAACTGTTCCAGAATTCCCAAGGCCACGCCCCTGTTTTTCTGGCTTGTGTTTTAGTTTTGTTGTTTTTGATTTCAGTTTGGTTTGATGGTTTTTCAGAATAGGTGTATTAAAGTAACAAAGTTACATTCTTTGAAAGGTTTCACGCTGATTGTTTTGATGCAGAAAGAGGCAAAGAAATGCAGAGAAAGAAGCATGTAAACATGCCATGAGGAGTTCATGAGGAAACATCTGACGTGTCCTTCCTCTGTTTGTTCTCTGTTTTCATCATTTCACATCTGATGGACGAGAGACTCACTGAAACGTGGTAAAACTACTCCATATTTCTCTGTTTTTACTTCATTCGGTCACATTCCTTTTGTAAAACATTCTTCTGTTGCTTTTCTGTTGTTCTTGTAGATGTATTGTAAATGCTGTAGTTAATATTCTGATCCAGAGTCTGTAGTGATTCATGACATCTGATCACCAGAAACCTCCTCAAAATTCAGCAGACTATTAGTTGTTGACAATGAACTCACTATCATCAGGAATAAAAGGAGTCTGATGTACAATGAAGACACACTGAAACTTCTTACTTAAAAATATCAACTACTGAAGCTTTTTATTGTTTTAAAGGGTATGTCCTCTGTGTCCTTAATGCTACGAACCCTATACATACGTTAAGATATAGCAATTGAATTTTATATCATGTTATATTGTAGGTGCAGTAACTGATTGTTTATTGGTTGTTGTAGGTGTTGCTATGGTGATGTCAGTCAGAATGGCTCCTCCTCTTCCTCTGATCTTTCTTCTTGTGATTCACTGTGAGTCTCTGATGATACGGCAACAGTTCACTCTATATTCACTGATCAAAGTCATATTATTTAAATAGTTTTCAATGCATTTCATTATTTGTGCAGCATCAATTGTGGCAAATCTCTGATTTCTGCTCTTCTTCATCACCCTCCACTCATCTTCCTTCTTTGGTCATTAGAAATAGTTCAGCATTTGTAGAAGTGCTGTTGATGCATTTTTTAAATTAAATTTGTTTCAGGTCTTCATAGTGCTGTATTGCTCCTGATCTCGACACTAGAGGGCTAATAATTGAACCGCAGGTCAACACTGACCCATAGTGCAGCATTTCTGTTGAGTTCTGACTTCACTGCGCTTTTTAAACTTTTTTTCCTGCTCTGTAAATATCGTGTTGTGGAAGCCTGTAGCGTTATATTGATCCTAGTGCGCAAGTATAAATGAGAAGTACTGTACATTATTGTGTATGTCTGCTAATAATAATTTAAGATTGTCAAGATCTACGTGTCTTACACACATGCACTAAAAGCTGCAAAAATTCATTGCTCAGTAACTCATAAAGAAACATATTCATTGTTATTGTTTCAGGGGTTTCTGGTGCTGATTGGAATGTGAGTTACAGTCCTTTACACATCTGTGCACTAAAGAACTCATCAGTGATAATGAGCTGCACTTATAAATACCCTACTGGACATCAGATCATGAAAGTGTACTGGACCAAAAACCCTGTAAAGAGTGAAGAGACTCCAGATCTGTCTGAGGATCCTGAATACAGTCAGAGGCTTCAGTATCTGGGAGACAAACAGCAGAACTGCACCATCAGACTGAGTCATGTGACACAGAAAGATTCACACAAGTACTATTTCAGATTCAGAACCAATATAGATCAATGGATTGGTAAGCCAGGAGTGACTCTTACTGTCACAGGTGACTTTCATGAGGCTGAGCTCTTCTTCTGTGCATTATGTTGAATAATAATCAGTGTATGACAGCAGCACTAGATATAATGTGTGTGTTGTGTTCAGATCTTCAGGTGGAGGCTCCTGAGAGAGTGACAGAGGGTCATAATGTCAGTCTGACATGTAAAAGCAGCTGCACTCTGACTGACAGAGCAACATTCATCTGGTACAGAAACTCACAGCCATTAACTGAGAGAAGAGACGGAAACAATCAACTCCTGCTGCAGTCAGTCAGAAGAGAGGATGCAGGCAGATACAGCTGTGCTCTACATGGACACAGTTACATCTCTCCTGCTGCTCGTCTCAGTGTCACGTGTGAGTAC